AACGATCTTAACCAATACTATCACGATTTCAACTTCCAACTGTGATTGATCATAAAATTGACTTATACAATAATAGTTTATTTCAAGACTTTTTTAAGACAAAGAAGCAACAATAATCTACAAGAAAGTAAATTTTTACAAACAAATCGTCAAACAATCATTATCACATTCACTATAAATTGGAGTCGATTTCTATCTCAATGGTGTATTAGCACTAATCCATATTCGTATATCCGATGTATCCTTACTGATCCAATTTGTTTTAAGTAATGATAAATAAGGTAAATGTTCACGGTCGAGTATAAGATTAAGACTATCATAATATTCATCATTCGATGGAAGATAAATTTTGAATGAATGAAGATTTGGAAAATGTTGTACAAGAGATCGGACACTGGTTAGCGAATCGACTTTATCCATTTTAAGAATCAAATTTTGAATATTAGAATAAATAATTGAATGAGTCAATAAATCATTTATTTCAAATAATGTCAATGTATGAATATGACGCGTTGTCAAATGATTAAGTCGACGAAACTGAATACACTCATCACAAGAAAGATTATCTTCATGTAGAATTGTAAGTGTATAAGTATTAGGAAGATTCGTACAAGGTATATTGACTATCAATTGTCGCACGTTCGGACATATGCTCGTTGTATCATCATTAGCTAATATGGATATTTGCAATCTTTCAAATGATCATGGAATTGTATACACATGTTTGCATGAATTATCCAAACGTGATCCAAATGCTATTAGTCAACGTTCGTTTAAGACTTTGAAAGTCTAGCAAAAGAACAAAAACTAAATTTATGAATCTATTTACATTTTGTACATATTATAGTAAAACAGTTTCTAAAATATTGTTAAGAAATTTACAATTAATTCATGCCTGTATATCAATGTCATTAGTTGTTTGAATAAAACAATAAAAATTACGTAGTTCTGACATACAATTTTGAATTATCATATCAATTTCATTTCCTTCTACAAATTGTTCATTATTGCTACTCCATTGTTTTACCTTGACCGTCAATTTCTCAAGTTTTATCATAAGCATCACAATACTACGTAAATTGTCAAAAGTAAACAGAACATGTATTTTGGCTATCAAATGAAATTCAGTCAAAAGACACATAAATCGTTGTGACCAATTTGGTAGTAATGTTAATCGTTTGTTTGTATGAGATATACATAGAGTAACATTAAGTACAATTAAAGACGGTGTAAGATCATCCGATAAAACAAAGAGATCGTCGATTTTTTTGTAATGAAATTGTTAATCGTTTGAGATACTTATGTGAGGACAATCGTGTATCGAGAACAATACCATCGATCGTACTTAATTCAAGTTCGATGAGTCGTTTGAGTGATTTATCAAATATTAAATTACGAAGCATGTCAATTGTTGAATTTTTCCATTGAATCTTCATTTTTATTTGATTTAGATTTAGTAATAGTCACTGATTGTAATGAATTGAACATTTTTACAAATGAATCAATTTCTTCGAAATCATTTTGAGTACATTCGACTAATGATAAATGATGAACATAGTTGAAATTGGCTTTTGACAATAAATCCAGTTCATTTAAAACAAATTCGATTTCTGTTGGTATATTTGAATTACTAATAGTCAATTTTGATGGTCGAAGTCGTTTCTTAATAAATAATTTCAAAAAATATAATGAAACTGTATAGTTGCATTTATTCAAATTCACATTATGACGATATTCTGATATGCAAGAAAACATTCATTCATCATATTTGTGAAAGGCTTTGATTACATGTGCTGGAGTTAAGTAACGACAAATCAGAAGAAGAATTTCATCGGACAAATCGTTGAAACAAGTCAAATGTTGGTTTTGTTGTTGAACTTTTTGTTCTGATTGTTCATTTTCCTACATAAATAATGTGAATTCAACTGTTCCTAATTTCATCTCGATACACTTACTTTTCGAATATTTATTCTCTTTTTGAATTTATAGTCGATATTGTTTCTCACTTTGATCATGATACAATGTTTCTTCTGGTACAAAATAATAGATATGTCATCTTTAGCAATATTATTGAGTATTTATATGGGTTCATATTGCGGACGATTGACATACTTGTATTTGCTTAATATATAGATCATCACAGCATGTTTGATCATGGAGAAAAATAATCTTATCATTCGTTCGTTTCTGCAACTTCAATTAAAAAGAAATTACAATTATTATCTAGTACAGAGAATATTATATTTCAACCAGAATTAATTTCATCAATGATCATTTAGTTGCTTTCACAAATCCATACTTTAATTAAATGTATCAATTTTGGAAAATAATCTCTTAATCTAATCCAATATTTTAGCGAAAATCTAAAAGTGTCTACTAAATTAGTTGCAAATGAGAAACATATTCGACCAACATTCGATCTCGGTTCACAAATTTTAGATGTTTTCAAAAATGCAAAAGAAATGAATCTTATTCTGATTTTATTTGTATTCGTCGTCAAATGTCATGATATTTCTATCAAAACAATCAATATATCGTTTTAATTAGTTCCATTTCCAGGCGAGCAAAAAATAATTTAGGACATTGTGGAAGACTAGTCGAAAACGTCGTTCAACAATATTTGGACTAGTCTGAGAAGTCTTTGCATCCATCATGGCTAATCCGTTTCGTCTGTCCATCCTATGTAGACAAGTCTAGAGAACAGAAAAGCGAGAAAAAAAACGAGACGAACTGCGGATTCGAACATTTGATCCAACAGTATTCGACACCAGATAGACTTTCTGTATTATACAAGTAAATTTCAGTCTAAATACAAATTTTCATGATTACTCAGAATATATGTAAATTACATAATTTCAGCTTGTTTTTTATTGTAAATTGCGTAAATTTAATATTGAAATAAACTTTAATCATGAAGTGAATATAATGATTTTTTTCAATAGGCAATACCTTTCCCAGACGTCATCGATATGAAAAAAGTTTCTGGAAAAAAAGAATTCTATGTCAGCATTTCGATATTCCATGATACAAATTTTTATTTATAGTGAATTCTGAAAAACTCTAAGAAAAATTATATTCACTAGGGTCTTAGAATGTCAAACGACATATAGCAATTGATCAGTTGATCGTATGGTTCAATCGACTTGGTGCTTGGTAAGTAATATATTGTGTGCATGATCGAACTCAGTTGTTGAAAGAAGTTTTAATCAATATCATTAAAATCACAGAATAGATTGGATAAGTCTCCAAAATGCGTTCGAATTGTACAAGTTTTAATAACTCTTAGTGTTTAAATGTGTGAGTAATCAATTAATCATAAATTATGACTACGGTAATTTTTTTTTTTGCACTTAATACATGGAAATGTTTAGGCAGGATTACATGCTTGCTTTCTCCGCGCGAATAGGTCGTGTCACTCTCTTTTCCATAAAAAAAGAAGGAAAGAAAAGAGTTAGAACGAGAAAGACATCAGCAGTAGAATAAAGAAAAAAAAGATAGTAAATAGCAGCTCGCAAAAAACACGCATATCTGCAAGTGATAACTGTGTAATAAGATTAATTTTGTTGTTGAAGCGTCAGAATAAATACGAATGTCTAAACTAATAGGAGTAGTACTGCATTAAATAAACTGAAAGTATTCTCTCAAGAACACGATAAATTGTTGAAGTTATTTTGTCTATACTAAACCGACGTCTCAACACTACTCAACAGAATGACTCCCGGCACTCGTTCTTTTTTTTTCTGTTCTTCTTACGAATGAAAAAAACCTAGTTGGAATAACAAGAACATAATATAGTGATCATCTCGTCGAACTAAAAGCTGTAAGAAATATCGTGGATGTTGTCAGTAATGCTAGGGAAGAAATACAAAAAGAATCGTCAACAAGTGTGCGTTCTTTATTGATCAGAAATGCTTATTGACGAATGGTTGTTCGAAGCGCATGGCTGATAAAAATCTCGTTTTCATCTATTTCTTCTAGCTTAGAGCAGAACATTTTTTTTCCTCTATTAATCTACATCACGTCATCTCATGAATTATTCTTCTTTCTTTACTTCTTGATTTACTGAAATATTCGAATGCTTAGTAGTGGGGATTGTTTGTATAATTCTCGATAAATGTGTCATGAAGATTGAATCATTTCATATTTGTAATTTATACTTCGTATTTTTCTGTGCGATCTTTGTAACTTACATAATAGTAACATCTATTCTCTTTCTTTTCAAGCTTTGAAAAGCAAAGGAAACATATAGCAATCATCGACTTTTTTCATTGCTTCGTTGATTATGTTAAATCCTATTCCTATATATGTTTTTATGTGTTTAATAATGAAATAGGAAGTCTTATATGCAACTTTTCTGATTGTGAAAGAGTTAGCAATAGTTTCTTTATCAATCAGCGCATACGTGTATAATATGCTGATAAAAACAAAATTCCTAAAATTCGTTGAACATTAAAGTGAAATAGACACTCTTACATTCGATCGAAATCAACTAAGATTCTCTTACTCAGCTTAATATCTTAAAAAAAAATTCATTTTCGAAATTAAAATGCATATACCTTCGTTAAAGAATTTTACTGAGTCAAAACTAAAGTTTTTGAACATTTTTATATTCATCACGTTAATATAAGAGTATATCAATCGATAGTTCGACCAAATACCGCTTTTAAATCGAGAGATTAAAATTTATTAGCCTTTTTCTTTTATAAGTTCTCTAATATTCAAACTGTAATTAAAAAGTATTTAGAAATTTGAATCATTAGTACAGCTGACATAAAACTTTCTACACGATATTCAAACAAACATACATATGTTAGAGAAGACGAACATGGATAATCCAATGCGAGCAACTTACTTTCGTTAACTTTTCAAGTTCAAAAAAGTTTTAACAATTTTTGATCAAACATCTTTTCCATTCAGTTTTCTGAACGTTATAGATCCTTTTCTCTCTTTTGTTTAAATTTACTTTAGATTATAATCAAGGTGTCATGTTTGATAAGTCTATGTATAATGAACCAGTTGCGATCAATCTTCCGTTACAAGCTGCTAATGAAACTGAAACAAAAATAGATGAAGATCCACCTCCGTATCAAAATCCGCAACTTGATTTTAGTGGTGGATGGAAAAATCATCGCTTTGCCATTTTCTTCTGGATTCATACGATTGCTGTCATATTAGTGAGCATCAAACTAGGCATACCCGCTATAGCTCCCTATATCAAGCATAATGCATTCGGTAAATCAGAACAAATGTCTTCCAATCGTGACATCAAACCATTATTGTGCGGATTGGGTGGTGCAGCAACGGTTGGTGGATTAGTCTCTTTTCTCAGTTTTATTGCTCTACAATTATGTGCTGGTCAGCTTATTAAATGCTCATTTTTTGTAATGATCCTTATACAAGTTCTTTTTGGAATACTTCTTTTGCTTGTACATTGGCCACTCGCGATCGCACCTGGGATCTTGCTATTGTTCACATTGATTTATTTTTTGTGTGTTCAAAAACGAATCTCGTTTGCCCAAGCTCACTTACAAGCAGGTTGTGCTGGTTTACATAGTCATCCATCATTGATATTAATAGCGCTCGTCCTGATCATTGTGGAATTTCTATGGTTTGTTTTCTGGTTCCTGATGGTACTTGGCATTCAACGTGCTTCGAATAATTCTATATCAATCATAAATATTAATACAATCAGAAATGTAAACGACGCTACAACATTTACTGTGGTCAGCACAAAACCTATAAGAATAATGACATCAACTTCTATTACCGATAAGAAAATACACTCAATCAATGACACAACATATTTGACGATTGAAAATTCAAAAACAAGGAAAAACACCATCCATTCGTTTTATGAAGACCTCAAACGTATGAATAGAAAACGAACTTCGAATCCTTCTACAGAAGAATGGTATAGTATTTATTTGCACAGATTTATTCTATTTTTACTATTATTTTCATGGTATTGGGGCGCAGTTACATTTGGAAATATTATTCATTTTATAACAGCATGTTCTATCGGTCACTGGTGGTTTCCTATTGAAGTTAGTCAACAATATACAATCGGAACAAGTATTAAACGAGCATTTACGACAAATTTCGGAACTATTTGTTTTGGTTCATTTTTTGAAGCTATAATCAAAGCTCTAAGTTCTTCTACTAAGGAACATCGTCGAAAGAGTATTCTATCGTGTATTTTTGGATGCATTCTTCAAATGATTGATGACTGTATTGGTTATCTCAACGAATGGGCATTTATTTATGCAGCACTTACTGGTCAAGGATTTGTTCAAGCTAGTCGAAGTTTTCTCACGTTATTTCAAGCACGTGGTTGGACAGCGATTATCAATGACAGTCTCGTCGGAACTACATTATTCATGATTAATTTCGTAATAGGTGTCATTTCCGCTGTTGCCGGAGGTTTTATCGCGTATTTTATGATGGTTGAATCGACAGAACAAATTCGATTTACTATTATTATAGTTTTGATTAGTTTTTTCATCGGTTTATGCATGAGTACAATTATCACAACAATTCTGAAATCGTGTGTTCGCACAATATTCGTTTGCTTTGCTCTCAATCCAGCAGCATTAGGTGCAACACATCCTGATCATTTGCAAAGTTTAACCAAAGTTTGGCATGAAGTCTATCCACAAGAATTCTCTGATAGTGGTTACATTAATCCATATAAAGAAACAATGGTATAGTCATAACATTTTGTGCTCTGACCACAGATGGAAAATTTAAAGACTCATTGACTTGTATTTTCCATGCTAATCACTTGTACTCTTATCCACTGATGTTTATCTATGAAAAATCATTACTATCATACACAGAGAACAGCAATTTTTTTCTGATTGTAATGTCTCTTTCATAAATATTTAGATAATAAATAATAAAATTGTTTTTTCTGAACAAGACTTTCTATTCTAATAAATAACTGCAAAAAAAGATATTATCGATGTTACTTAAGAAAAACTTGAAACAAAACTACTATGTGAGAAGAGTACGGATGGCTGTATGATATCGCTTTCAAGTCAAATATTTTCTCATCTGATAAGTACAATCTGACTTCAAAAATCGACAAGATGTTCGAGTCAACTAATGCATTTGAGCGTTTCATAAAAATTCAGTTTCAAACTGCGAGCAGTTGAACCATTTTTTTGATTATTAATTCTAGAGTTTCGATCAATAAATCAGGATGTGGATGTTGCTGAAGAATAGACACCCACACCTATGTCCTGTTTCTGACAACTCCTTGTCATATTTCCAATCAAAAAAATAGTGGGCTAAAAACTACCTTATGTGAACATACCCTTTATTGTGTTCTAAACGTTGAAATGAGTTTTTTAATCCAACTTTTGCTGTTCACTCACATCTACCATGGACAATCTGTTTTGATATCATACGAAAATCTTCATTGTAATAAACATCTGTATATATATATGTCGTGCCGAAGTTACACTTCTTGCCGAAGTTATAACTTCGACAAAATTTTTGCCGAAGTTACAACTTCGACGGACGATGTTGTCGAAGTTATAACTTCGACGATTATTCTTGCCGAAGTTATAACTTCGTCAATGTATTTCGTCGAAGTTTAACTTCGACAAACATATTTTGTCGAAGTTAGTGTGAATGATAAAATAAATATCAACTTTCAAGAAATCAACAATATCTTTCATGTTGAATCTTAAAAATTATTTTTTTCTATCAAAACAATAATACAAAATTTATTTTTCAATATTATGACAAATATACTAGCGTTTCAGCAAGAATGAATATTCATTCGACTTGTACTTTTACGTATTTACTGCGATACAGATGAAAAGGAGTTTGGTAGATTGTAAAGATACAACAATCTTCTATGAAACTCTAAGATTATATAATATATTAATAATTTCAACGCAGAAAAAAATTAACATATTGTTCCTTTTATTTGTCTGAATATTCGCACATTTGTCATAATATTGAAAAATAAATTTTGTATTATTGTTTTGATAGAAAAAAATAATTTTTAAGATACAACATGAAAGATATTGTTGATTTCTTGAAAGTTGATATTTATTTTATCATTCACACTAACTTCGACAAAATATGTTTGTCGAAGTTAAACTTCGACGAAATACATTGACGAAGTTATAACTTCGGCAAGAATAATCGTCGAAGTTATAACTTCGACAACATCGTCCGTCGAAGTTGTAACTTCGGCAAAAATTTTGTCGAAGTTATAACTTCGGCAAGAAGTGTAACTTCGGCACGACATATATATATACACACATATATCTCGAAAATATCGAAAGTAGCTTACGAAAAAAGTCAAACAAATTTATTTGTAGGAAAAAAAGATTCTTTTACATTTTGTAATACTAGACACTGCTCTTTCAAACAAAACAAAAAACAAATAAAATTTCTGTCATATTCTATCACAATGCTAAAACAAAAATAAATTTTATTGTAGAACTTTTGAAACATTAGTTATCCTATGTTAATATATAAACGACTTATGGCAATATATAAGATAATTATTTTCCGAGCAGATTTCATATTTGTTACTAATTGTTTTATTAAGACAATAAGAAAAATGTTTCATAAAATCAATTTTCTTTCGAATATAAATATTTTTATCTCTATTCTGTTCATTGTGTATGCAAGAAGAAATAGATAGTATATTTGTTTTACCACGTGTATATATGCATTCGTTTTTGTTGTCATCCACTTCGACAACGGTTTTTCGTAGTCAGTATCATTGTCATTTATTTATCTTAGACGTGGGAGGGAGAAAAAGGCAAGAAAATGATACGATTCAGAATTCTAATAATAACAAAAAAATGAAAATTACAAAATGAAAGTAATATTTTATGTTTACATTGAATAAATTTGATATTCTCTTTGTTTTTTTTAGTCACAATAATCAATATAAAAAAGTCAGTTATTTAATATCTATTTGGTTATGTAACATTGATCCTTTTATTTCATTCAGATCTCTTCTTGAAGATTTACCCAATGAAATTATTTATGAAATCTTTGATTATCTTAATATGTTTCATATTTATAAAGGATTTTTTCATCTTAACAAATGATTTAAAAATTTACTTATCAATTCCAATCTTCTAATTAAAAGAAATATTTCAACAATATCAAAATCAAATTTCGAATGTTATTATAAAGATATTCTTACACCAAATAAAGATCAAATTAATTTACTTCGTTTATCAAATCCATTTACTATTGACTATTATATTCTCATCACCACGTATTATATTACAATTTGTTTGTCTTGGTATATTAATTATTGATAATATAAAAACTAAATATCTTGATAAAATTTTTAATTATTTAATTTCGTTTATCGAAATTAAATTATTGTAAAATTAAATATAAAATAAAACATGATCAATCACCATTATCGATTCATTTTACTAAATATGATTATAATCATATTAAATATTTTATCACAAATGGTTGTTTTTCATTTGATTTATTCAATAATTTATTATCTTGTCTTTCTCAACTTCATCATTTATCAATTAATTCTCTTGTTAAATCTCGTGATACATAAATAGAAGAATTATCTTCTATTAATTTAAAATATTTAAAATATGTTTCTCGTAAACTTGATTATATTCATTTTTGTTAAATTTTAAAAAAATAATAAAAAATTTTTTTTATCATGTTCAAATTTTATGTATAACAACATGTTATGATCAAGCATATTTAAATGCTAAACAATGGGAAGAATTAATATTATTATCTATGCCATATTTACGTATATTGGATATAAACCATGAAGATTCTATACAAAATAATGATTTAAAATATCATGATTTAATTAAACAATTTAATTCTTCATTTTAGATTAAAAATCAATTGTTAAACATCAACATAATTGGCTAGAAAGTTTAGATAGTTGAATTTTTTATTCAATAGATCGATATCGGTAAAAAAGAAATTCATTTTTGTTTTAACTTGTTTGGTTTTGTTCTCTTGTACAAGACAAGATTATATATTTTATTGGAAATTAGATAACCAAATTTGCCCCATATTTTCAAGAAATGAATTTAAATTCAGTTAAACATGTTTGTATTTGTGGACAACAAGCAAATTATAATTGTGTTAATTATTTTTCAAATGCTATTGAATTAACTATTAGACATTATTTCAAAAAATCAGATAATTCGATTTCAACAACTCTTAATCGTATGATTCCTTTAACACAACTTACTAAATTAGTTATTGAATCTTATGGATTTCCTTTGAAAGAAATAGTGAAATTATTATGTTTTACATCTAATTTATATATATTAAAATTGAATTTTTTATCTCTGAATGCAAATAATTCAAAATTTATCGAACAAAATGAATCTTTTCAATATGTATCAAATCAAAATAAAATAAAAAATCTTCATCTTCGTGATTGTCGTGCATTGAATAAAATTCAATTAATTGTTAAATTATTTCCACAATTAGAATATCTTAAAGCTAGAATGTATAGAAAACAAATAGGAGAAATAATTCAATTTTTATTATCAAAACCTAATAATAAAATAGAACATTTATTTTTTTTTTAATATATTTCAAAAGTACCAAAAGTATGTTTAAAAGAATTAAATATTTTAATTAAATTAGAAAATTTACTTGATGATTATTATTTGAAATTCGTTAATCGTGATTTGTGTTTATGGTGGTAAAAATTTAGTTATTTAAGATATGTTTTATTCTTGTATATAATTTATATTTACTTGCAAATAAACGAGAAAAAAACTAACTATCAATATATTTTTATCTATTTTTTTTAACTATAACAAATAAGTGCAACAAATCTAGAGTAATAAGATTAAATAAATGATTAATAGAAGATTTGACTATAAGGTAATTTTTATACTAACAGTGACATGAACATTGGAAATGTGATAATGAAAATGTCGAGAACAACTAATTTTTTTTTAAGAAGTTTTAATGTACTATGAATTGGTCGTATGTATTGTAGCGCGATTATACAAAACGATACATAGTTATCTAGATCAGTTCTTCAACAGATATTATCAGTAACTATTCGTGTCATTATTTGTCTTATATGCTAAATAAACTATTTAAAATGAACGAAAACATGAATATTCTGAGTATGGGTGATCAATTTACATTTACGAAAATTTATTAAATGGAAGAATAAATTGTGGATAATTTAAATTTAACTTCAATTTATATAAATTTAACTTAATTTAAATTAATGTAAATAAACTAAAATTCATTTAAATCGGGTTGTAATCCAATGTGACTAGAGCTGAATCCAATTTAGGTCCATTTAAATGGATTTAAATATATTTGGAAGGTAGAATGTGGATGTGGACCTGAGTATGAATTTAAAACCGAACCACACCCACATCCGAAACATAGCGGTTTTTACTTGTCTGAAAAACTTTTACACTCGGCAGGACTGCACCAGTTCGATTATTCTTGACCAGTGACAACTCTGATCTGAATGTTAGTTAGAGTAATATCTCCATCGATTTCTGACACTCACATCCTCAGTCGCACCCAGGCCCACACTAACATTCCTAACTTAATGCAAGAAGTTTAACAATGAACATCTAAAATATGCTTCAAGAATACCTATTCTATATAATATATAAGTTTAAAAGTCTCAAATCTTTATTTACATCATAGAATAAGTTTTTGTAATAAAAAGAAACTACAGAAAACCCTTATATTTTTCTCAAAAAAATAATCAATAGCTTAACTATGTGTAATATGGTCGAAGTAGAGTTCAAGTATATAATTCACCATGTAACAAGCATCTTTTTAACACCAATATCTTTATTAGGCTCATTGACGAATTGAATATCATCTATAGACTGAGCCAATTTAAGATTGGGCAATCGTTGAAAAATAGTAAGAAGTACAGTCTTCAATTGAGCTCGTACGAAATGCATTGCAATACATTGATGAGCTCCATAGCCGAACGAAAGATGATGCTGTGGAGGACGAAAAATATCAAAACGATCAGAATCAGTAAATACTTTTTCATCACGATTCGCTGATGCATTAAGTGCAAATAAGATTTCACCAGTTTTAATCATTTGTCCACTGATTTCTACATCTTTTACTGTCAATCGATGAGTAATAAAACTTAAACCAGTATGATAACGAAGAATTTCTTCAACAGCTGCATCAATTAATGATAAATTTTCACGAAGTCGATTGTATTGTTCACTATTTTCAAGAAGACTAATAATACCCAAACATATTAAATTTTTCATTGATTCATTTGCACCTTGAAGAAGAAGTGAAATAATACTAATTAATTCTTTTTCATTAATTCTTCCAGGTCGCAACTATTAGAAAATATTAAAAATTGTTTTACTAAAATGAATAGACTACGTCAATTTCGAATAACATAGTCAAATATTTTTGTCTTTTAATTAGATTAAAAGATTTAAATTCACAGATTTAAGTTGAAATATATAAATAAACTGGTTTCAATTGACTAATCGATTTAAATAAACAAGTATGGTTCTCTTTGAAAAACTAACCTGTTCAGTGATGAGTCGACTAATTAAATCCGATCCTGGCGTTTCTTTTTTATTAGTAACCAGACGATTAATATATTCTAAAAATTCTTGATGAGTTGTTTGAGTTTCATCCAATTTATTATTAATTCGATTTCGACTAGTAAGAAATTCATGATCAATTTTGTTAATGGTAAGTATATCATACATAATAAATGAAGGAACTTTTATAGCAAATTGAGAAACGAAATCAATCGGTGGAGTTTGATTACTTAATTCATTGAGTAAATCATCAACAATATTTTTTATTCTTGGTTCATATTCTTTAATTCGATCAATAGAAAATTCTTTTTCAATAATTTCTCGATAAATAATATGTTTTGTTGGATCCATGTTCAATAAACCAATATGTTCTTCATCAGTATTAAAAATATCTTGGTCACTTTGTTGAGAAAAATTAGGATAATTTCGAACTTTACTGAAATTTTCATCATCACCAAGAACAAGACATACATCACCAAATCGAGTAATTAACCAAGTTTGATCACCATTCATTAATGTTGCACGATATATTGGTTGTTCAGCTCGTAATCGATTATATTCAATTGGAGGTTCAGAAGGAATTGAACGTTGAAATGGAAATACTGAACTTGTTAATAATTCTAAATATACAGAACAATTATTTTAACTTTGAGCATAGTTTTATCAAAATACACAAATCGAACTAAGTCAATTGAATCTGTGGAAAAGAGTTTTCTACTAAATGTCTTATACAAAAAAAAACATTTTTATTTTATATTTTAATAGTCTATTATTTAAGAAATCTATTTTCTGATATTTTTCATTGCTTGGTTGAACGAGTTTGGATATAAAACTATTGCTTTAAAAACAAACGAAGCAAAAGAACTTCTATTTACTTTCATTTTGATTAAGTTGTTCATCATTTATATCTTTTTTTGTATGTAATTCAGGATTTGATGCAGTTGAAATTGATCCATGTGGAGACACAACAGTAAATGAAACAGGACATTTACTGCTAGAATCGGACATACTTTTTCTATATATAATCTAAAAATCAAAAAAAGTCTTGATATTTTTTACATAATTCTACTACGTTGAAAATTAGATAACAAAGAGCACATGAATTTGATTTCTTGGATGTTATCCTCTTGTTCTCAACTACGTGTTATAGTATTGCAAAATATTTGCTTTTTTTTCTTTTGGTAGAGAAAGCAATGCATTTTCTCTTTGTTTCTTCCTATCGTTTTCTAATGATTATAAACACACATGTTTGTCAGTAGAGAGAGAACGAGTAACTAATAGGTCAACAAGGGCAGTTATATTCTTGACATTGAAAGATATAGAAACTTTATCCAGTGATATTGAATACAAATGGTCACTCAGTGGTAGTCAAACATCTCACAAGTTAAGTAGAGTGATGTTTTTCACGAAAGTATTAACTATAATAGATAAAAAAAAAACTGTCTTTTTATTTTATTCATAATTATCTTGTTTTATGTTTTTATGGAAAATAAAAATTCTTTCAAAAACGTTTAACTCATCTCTGTATGATATATTGATCAGCTTTATAAAAATTCTTCGATTTGTTCTCATTTCAAAGGTATGATCATTTTAATAATTTGAAAACAAAACATTTTTATTTTTGTACATCAAAGTCTAAATATTATTTGTTCAAAAAATTGAAGTAGAATTCAAAAGGATGATAAGGAATAATAGAATGTTTGATTTTTGAACTTGTATACATTTAATTCAGCTTTTAGAATAGAATACATAATTCGCATGTCTTTCGAGGTTTTCAACTTTGTAATGAATTTTTTTTTTAGATAAATGTTAAAAAAGATTATTACTGGCGGACAAACTGGTGTTGATCGATCTGCTTTGGATGTGGCTATTGAACTAAATTATGAATATGGTGGATGGTGTCCTCGTGGTAGAAAGGCAGAAGATGGAATGATTGATTCTATTAAATATGCAAATTTAAAAGAAACATCAACAGATCAATATTCACAACGAACAGAATTCAATGTACGAGATTCAAATGGAACTCTGATCATTGGAGATGGAGGTGAAGATGCCCTGGATCGTGGTTCAAAATTGACAATTGATATGACCAAGAAATATAAAAAACCATTGTTTATGGTTAACTTAAATGAAGAAGACAATAGTGTAAACGAAACTAAAATTATTGAATGGCTTTTGACGAATAAAATTGAGATATTAAACATTGCTGGACCCCGAGAAGAAACAATGCCTGGAATTTATAAGCGAGCAGAAAGTGTTTTAAGAAGTTTGTTACAGAAAATAAAGTCTAGAATGAAAACTACAATAACATAAATTGAAGTGAAAGTGATGTACTTATATATAATAAGTAATCAACATAAATGTAGAGTTAATTGGCCCATACATTTCGTGTTACCTATATCAATAGAAACACTCATCAGTACTTCATACTAGCACGAAGATAAAAATGCTGAAAAAATGAAAAATTAATTGCCCGAAAGAAAACCGTGAAAAGAAGAGAGGAGAATAGAAATGAGACAAAGTATAATTAGCAACACATTAAATAGGAATTGATGAGCATCAAAGAATTAGTGAAAGTTCAGATAGCATATGAAAGAAACTATATGTATGGTCCTATGTTGGAATGTTTTAGAACTATTGTTAATGGAGTATGCATCGGTCATTTTTTGTAGATCGTAGACATTTTATGTAATTAGTATTGGTATTATTTGATTGCTCATGATACCGAAAAATATTTTTGCTATAATAGTGTGCGTGTATCAGTCGGTCATCACTTCAGAAACATCCACACTCTTGATCTGGATTTTGGTACAGTTCAAATTATTCACTCTGTTATTCATGAGCACAACCTGGTTCAAGGTGCGGTTCTATCTCACAGATCTTGACAACAATTCAAGAAAGAACGGGTCCATACGCCGATGATGACAGTGGACACAGTACCGAAAATCGATTGAGTGGTGCAGGATACATGATCCAAAATCTTTTCCCACGAATGATGAAAGACAGAATGTACAAGTATGTCAAGCTCGGAAAAAGCCGTATATGTTGAGATGCATGTGTGCTTAGATTAGGATGATGCGATTGGTGATTCTGGTACTTAGTGGTATTCTTAGCGTATCATCTACCTCGTTGAATATAAGAACACAGCTGGAAAAACTTTGCTTACGCTGACCGATTATAAAGATGATTCGAACGATAAACCGTTCACTGGAGCCTGTATCTGCTCAACTAGTGATTAACAGAACCAAATTGAACCTACAATGGAAGCAAGTTCAAACTGTACAATAATAATTCTTGCTTTTGATCAATCGACTTGAATGATACGATGATGTGCATTTCGTGATAATAAATAAAAGAAGAGGTAGAGTTTTATTGGGTACGGGTACGGGTATGTGTGGTTGTGGTTGTCAGAAAAGATAATATGAACAGCGTGACAAACTTATCTATATCTACACGCTAAGTCATTCTTTTATTCGGTTTCTTTGACAAAAATTTGAGATGGAAGTGCGCATGTAAGGTGAAGTTTTGATTCTTCTCTTTACGAATACTCACGAGGAAACATTTCCAAGTGATTCACAGCGTTTGCCTTCATTTTACGCCCATAGTTAGGGTTCATAGTGTAGGTAAATACTCTAAAGGGGTTTCGTGCTATTGTGCTTTTCTTCTCGAATTATAACCATTTTACTGAATTTTCAGCCTATCACAACGTATTAAGCAAAAATATCTCAAGAAGTAATCTCCGCTTGAAAATTTTTCCGATAGTAGATCTCATAATCCTTGTCATATCCTGAAAGTTTCCGCTCAAACGAGTTAGTTTTTCTAAAAATATGGAGTATCTTAAAAATAAACTGTTTTCGGACCTTTTGTGAGAAAGTAGTACTTTTTTGAAAATGCATTATTTCGAAAGGAAACTATTCGTTTGAGCTGAAACTTTCAGGATATAATAAGGATTATAAGATCTATTATTGGAAAAATTTTCAAGCGGAAATTCCTTGTTGAAATTTTTTTCATAATACTTTGTAATAGGCTGAATATTCAGCAAAATGATCATAACTCTAGAAGAAAGGCTAAATGGCATGAACCCTTTTAGGGTATTTACCTACACTATGAGCCCTACCTATGGGTTTATAATATGAAGGCAAACGGTGCGAATCACTTGGGAATGTTTCCTCATTAGCAATATCTTGGACATTCAACTTTTCTATTCAAACGTGTCATGTCTGAGCTACAAATTTTGCATCAGCTATATTATGTCAAAACGAATCTGAGAAGGAGGAAAAGTCAAAAACCAATTGTCTTTTAAAAAATTGTTCGACTTAGTCAGCGAGCAGTATCAGTTTTTTTTATATGCTATTAACTTTTTTTTTATGATGAGAGAGAATGAAAAAACACTTTCAATGATGATTATTTGTAGGCTAAAAGGTGCTCTTCCTGATCGTGTATTGAAAGCTATAGTTACTCATATTTTCAATATGAACACATTGCTTGTTTCGAACGGGACTGAATAACGTGGTTGTTCTTATTATTTGGCCGTATTATAGTGATGAAAAAATATTCATTAAACTTTTTCTTTCTATGGAATTTATATAATTTGACATTTCAAATGAATAATTCGAAATCAATCAACTTTGTATGTATTTTTCCAAGATAACATCTAATATTCTTTTAGACTATCAGTTCTTGGAAAAAGAGTATTTTCAACAAAAATTTTAGTTTTGTAATCTGTTTGATTAAAGAGTCAGGAATGGATTTAAAAATTGTTAACAATGTTGATACCGATAGAGTTTTTGATTTGGTACATTTCAGTATATCTTCATGTGAAAGTTTACTTCATATAGCCTACAATAATTGAGAAACAACTTTTTTTCAGGTTAAAAAGGTTTTTTTTGGAGATGTTCGATTTTTGGTTTTTCCTCCTTCTCAGATTCCTTTTGGAAAAATATAATGAAAACTATGGCTGGAGATTTTGGCCATTACTTTTGTATCGTAGGTTAGTTTCATTTGACAAATGTCTAATATCTTCATTCATGATGAAAAATAAACAATGTTAGAGAAATTAAACAAACACAAGTTTTATTAACTTGAAAGAGAATAATGTCATATAATGAAGTACTGATCTTCAGAGTTTATACATATTATTATTTCAACTTTTTATTGCTTTATCATAGTACAACAGTTTATTCTATAAATACATATAGTTTCCAGCTAATAATGCGAGATATCGGACAAGGATATTAGATCATCATTTAATTGTTTAGACTTTTTGCATGAGATTTTTCGTTTCTTCCATGCAAATAATAATAATGCTAGGACACAAATCACTCCAAATATTACAAACAATCCACTCAATGATTCAATTCCAATTGCAATAGATGTTGTTGATGACTCAGAACATTTCTTTACTTGAAACCATTTTCTTCGCAAAGTATCAAGATCACCTGATTCTTTTAAGGATAATATATTAACATCTAAGTCTTGTCCATATAACCATTGTTTAGGTGTAATAATACCAAATGCACCTTTATCAAAACCTTCACCAATCAATGTTACATTACAATAAATATTATTCGTTACATATTCTGCAACACCCATATCATGAAAAGATGCATCGATTAAATTATTTAATAAACTATTATACATTTCTTGTCGAGATTTTAATGGATAAAAATTTTTACTACCACTAGAGATTTCTCTTAAATAATACTCTTCATCAGCTGTACCTACAAGAATACCAATACGATTGAATGGTATTTTACCACTTTTAATATCATCAATTCCAGAAATAATATTCTTTGATTTTGCTATTGTTAGATCAGATGCTAAATTTGCAGTGTATGATGCAACTAATACTAAACATAAGATATATAAACCAGCAGTTAATAAACGTCCAGCAGCTGTCTTAACATGAAAATCTGCACCAAATCCAACAAGATTACCAAAAGTATACCACATACTCATCATATATAAATTAATTATTGATTTTTTTCGTAGTTTTCGACTTTTTCCTCTCTCTAATAAACATATTAAAATACTAGTAAAAATAATTGTACCCAAGATCAATAGCCAGAGATCACGTGAGAATGGTTTCAAGAATGCCAATAGATCAATATGAATATCAGGAGTTTTTCGCATAACAATGCGTAAAGAATTTTCAAAAATTGACTGTGAAAACCCAACTTTTCCTCTTCTTGTAGCAGTAACTGTCACATCACCTACTATTATATCATAAACATGATTTTCTACTAGTTGTCCTAGTGAAGCGTAGGTTCGATTTGATATTAATTCAATATGTGGAATAAATCCCATCTTATTTTGGAGAAGATCAATAAGATCAGGTACATAACCAATGAATTTTGTTATATTCTGTTCCAATTTATTTGTGACAGTAGTAGAAATTGTGAATGGAGCTGATTCCATCACACCAATTCTTAATTTAATACCATCAAGTTTTGCACCACCAGTAGGAGGTATTAATGAATTACCTGGCCAAATAATAGTACGTGTTTCTGAATATTCTTGCCAACCGTCATGATTAGAATATTTCAATACTGGTACGAAACTTAATCCAGATGAAGAGGATTGAGAGTTTTTTGCAACGTAATAACTACCATCGACTCGATCTGTTAGATTAACATCAAAATGAATCGGGCCAGAAACACCAAGAAATGTCATATTATTAATTATGTCGAAAAATGAATAGGAATTTAGAAAATAACGATAAAAACAGGATGAAGAGTCGATAAATGATATACACGAAGAAGAACTATTAACAGTTTTTGAACAAAATTCTTTTAATGATTGAATCAATAACCAAGTTGCATCAAATGCAAATAATGCATAATAATCTACGTTTTTTGAATTAGGAAATGTTTCAGGTTCATACTGTTTCCAAATATTATAGGCTGCATTCAATAATGTTGTATTGATTGGTGCATGAAGAAGATTTGCTGTTGTAGGTTCAACAGTAAGCATTCCAATTAGTTTTTGATTCAATTTTTCATTAAAAGAGTTCAATGAAACACTTGAACTTAATATCCATGTGAAATGTGGACCAAGTACATCAGAATCAAGTGCATTTTGTAAAATTAAAGATATATAAGTTGGTTCAGCCCATAATATAATAATTCGTGTTGAGCTACTAGTTAAAACATTTTTCAAATTACCTCGCATATATTGTGTTGCTATATCGAATACTAATGTATCTGCAACTGTCAAATCGTTGTACATGAATGCTTCATTTATTACTTTTACACCGCCAAATCCATAGGCATCATTTTGATAAATAATTATGCATGAAGTCCAATTAAATCGAAGAAATAGTTTTACAATTGCTATTGCAGCCGCATTGTCAGAAGGAACTGTACGATAAAAAGCAGGATAAGCATTTCGATCAGATAAATCAGGATCTGTTGCAGCATGTGATATAACAGGTATACCAACTCTTTCACCAAACTCAGCAATAATAGGAGTTTCTCTTGACAATACTGGACCCACAATTCCAACAATGTTAGAAGCAGATACTGCTTGACATGTACCACTCATAGCATTTATTGCTTTGCCACTAGTTTGCTCCACTTGCCATTCTATGAATTGTCCATCAATTGTAATATTATATTGTTGAGAAAGTAAGACTGCTGCTTTAAACATAGCGCGACAATGACTAGAGAATTCGGGAGATTCATATCCGTTCACTTCATCTTGAAAAAGACCTAATAGTTGTATGGTGGATGAGTGTGATAAGGGCCAACTTGCTTTTACGTACGGTTCATTAAGTTGTCCAAATATAAACAGTAAAAACAACCATCGAAGATTCCAAAATAACAACATCATTGTCATTTTATTTTCTTGCGGATAGAATGATTGAATTGAATGTATGAGAAAACAAATTATACTATAATTTAGAGATAATAGGAATGGTCAATATAAGTAATTCATGAATAATGGTATCAAAATTTACTATCATACTATTCAGACCCTCGAAAAGAATTAAGAATTTATGATTCGTAACACTAGGATCACAAAAAAACTAAAAAACCAGAAAAGCAAAAAACTTTCAGTCAAGAAAGGGATGGGATACCCTTAAATTCATAAAACTGTAGGCTCATAGACAGTTTGCATAACGCAAAGTCAGAGATAGTAGTGAATTCGCTTCCATTATTTCATTGTTGCTGCTCACAAAATGTCCTGATCTGTATGATAGATGATATATACAAATGAGACTCTAGTAACACTGGATTTTTGTAATGAAAAAGATTTTTTAAAATTTTAAGCAACTGTATCAAGATTCTTTAATCTCAACAAGACTAATTTCATTTGTAGCATTGCATTTTTATCAATAATCTGACACAAGTAGAATAATGCATGGTAGAGTCACAGAAAGAGTAACACAGAAAAGGAAACTAAGAGACAATATATACGAATGTGATTAGTTGAGTTACCTAATGAAATATTTTTTCTAAGAAAAAGGAAGAATTGAATTCTTCGAAAGCTAAGGTAAAAATAACTTTCTCTTTATATAGGAAAAACAAACTTTCTTCTATGGCAAACACTTTTTAGTATGTTTGAATGGTCGTTTTAAATTTTTTTTTCAATTATTATTAATGTACAACAATGTTATGTGCAGTTATACTTACATTCTTCTTAATTAATCTTAATAAAAACAAAATGATTTATACTGACGAATACGATTTTGTACATAATGTCGGTTCGGATGGATTAATCAAACAAAGTCAATCGTCAAGATGTCAGGTAAATGTTATAATATTTACATAGATCAAAATTCTAATTAAGTGTGATACATTTACCTTAATTATAAATTAGTGGTAATGAAGTATCTTTAAAGTTACCTATTTATTTGCAACTAGGTAATTAAAAGTTACTCGTTTGTTAGTAATTTCCAAACTTCTATTTATTTATTTACTAATGAACTCGGTACTAGTAGAGTAAATATCAGGTAGTGCTCCTTATTCCACTAGCTATTATGTGATTATGAATTAGTAACTTGTGCAAAGGATAAACTTTTCTCAGTCACGACACGATTCGATAGTAATATTAATTTTGATAAAATGTATAACATAATTATATAGGTCCCCTTATCTATACATACAACAATATTTCTTTCATTTCGACAACGGTCATATTAATATGCTACTGACATGTGTATGACAGACTATGCAAACGCTAACTAATTACCTTTTCTCTCTCTTTCTTTTCTTTTTATTTGACGAAAACATTAAAAAAAATGCAACATGATTGTAACATAATTATGGCTACCTCCCTTTTTGAAAAACATATTTTTCTTCATTTAAAGAATACTAAACCTTAGAAAATCTCAAGATTCGAGAGATTTTCTAAGTTTTCGTTATGTAGTTGTCATATTCGACGAAGAGATGATTCTTTCAGGATTCGCTGAGGAACCGATAGAATATTGTCATTATCTCTGTCTTCATTTAGTTGTTGAAATTAGTCAATGTCATGTGTATTCCATTAAGTTTTACTAGAACTCATGCTTTATATTATGTTTTACATGTTTCAAGTACACTTTGATCGACTCTTTTCAGCTATGCCAGTAGATTTGGTTAGTGGGTTGAAATTTTTCTGAAAAATTCCTTAGAAAATGAAAGAGTTCACTAGTTTTATGAAGTCAAACCATTTTCTTTTTCACTTCTCATAGTAGGATTTTCATTCTAATAATGTTATTTCGAGAAGTCATATCCACTTCCTGTGTTTTAAATGAATAGAGATCTTGAAAGAATCATCTATTCGTCGAGTATAACAATCACATAATGAAAGCTTAGAAAATGTCTCAAGACTTGAGATTTTTAAGTAAAGCGTTCCTGATAAATCCTCAAACTGAATGGAAAACCTAGAAGACAGTAAATATTGAAATAAAAATGTTGAAATTGAAGGTTTACTACCCTTTAAAAGAAGAAAAAATGTGTTCTTCAAAAAGGGGAGTAGCTATAATTATCTTACAATCACTTTGTAATTTTTTCTAAATTTTTCTTCAAATAAAAAAAAGAGAGAGAAAAGGTAATCAGTTAGTATTTACATAGTCTATCATACATATGGCAGTAGCATGTCAATATGAGTCATTGTTGAAACGAAAGAAACATTTTTGTGTGCATAGAGAAAGGGGCCTATATAGTTATGTGATACACTGTATGTTGATTATATCTTATAATTTCGATATGTTTCACATTAATGAGCATGATTGACAGAGGCAATTATACGATTGGATATTTTCAGCTTGCATGAAAACCTGTTTTGACTGAATAGGAACGACTGAAATAAAACTATTTCAAGAAATGAATCCACATACTTCGTGTTAAATGAAATTGTCACCTAATCACACGCATAGTAACTTTTCTGTTGATGAATCACAGAAAAGTTCTACAAAATATTCAATAAGCAACAGATTTCCACATAGACAAGAGAAGAAAAACATAGAAGTTTTCATGAGTCATATTCTATTACGAATCATAGAATGCATTAAACAGCCTAGTTCTAGATAATATTGATTATTATCACACATTCATGGTGACAAAATATAGTTGACTTGAAAAAAATGTTTGATATGATATAATCATTTACAAACACGTTGAATTACACTTCTCGGTTTAATCCTGTTATCCTTGTATTATTTCAGTTAACTGTCTCGTTCGTTTTCGTGATTCATTCAATCATCTTTTTTTTGAACGAATTGTGTTTTCCTTGCATATAATCTATTAACAGCTGATATAGTTGATAGATCGATACTCTCATGTGAGCGACTCCGTATAGATCAGTCTTTAGATTTTACTATAACAAACGCAATACGAATGCATATGAAGCGATCGAACGTGATTAAAAGAGAAGCAAATAGTATTAGTTAAATATTATCAGTAAGTTTGATTATCTATATGATGGTTTATGAATTTCTATTCCATTTCAATTTTTATGTTTTTTCAATATCTAAAGTTGGACAAAGATGGAGGACATATTTAAAAAAGTAATATCTATATTATTATGCAAAATCTATCGAATTCAATTGTCATCATTAATAAGAAATTGCTGTATTGAAAATCACTTGAAAATAATTTTATCACATCGTTTTTGTTATTCTTTTGTCTGAAACTAATTAGTTTAGCATTCGACTATGTAAAATACATCTGCTAAAATTATTTTAATATTTGGGTTAGAATCCAAAAGCTCAAGTTAAAGTATGAATTTTTGTTCTATTTTCTCAAGCTGGCTTCACTCTGTTAATCATTAATTCGCTAATTTGTATTTTTCAACGAGATTTAACACGCTTCAGCTCTTTGCTTTCTTACACATAATTAAATATTCAATTTTTTGAAATTCAAGAAGACATTTTCTGTGATAATTATTGTAACTAGAAAGTCAATTATTCACTGACATGACGTCTAATAGACATCAATACTATTTTGATAGGTCATCATATCATGATAGAGTAATTTTATTATCGAAACAAATCATTCACATATTTTCTGTGAATAGATGCAAGAGTCTCATTATATTTTTGAACATTTGATTTTCAAGACCACCTACTCTTACACTCTAAACAAAGCTAAATATCCATTTTTCTTTCATTCATGATGTTTCGTTTTTTATATAATAAACTAATTTCTTAATTGTATACTGTGAATTTTCCATAATTTGCGGTCTTCTTTACGCCTACTCTTATTCTTCTTTGTGGACATTTTTTCTTAATTGATAGAAAAAAGTCGTCACAATCAAGAAGTAGTCGTTATTGGTAATCCTAGTAAGTTTAACTTTTATCGAAATAATAAATCTTGACCAACAAAAATAATTATACTTGCAACGTTTTAGAGTTTGTTATAAATGTGTAGGATGGATGTAAGAACGACATTGATGATGAGAAAGGAAATTTCAATTATGAAAAAGCACACATTTGTCTTCAGGACGATGCGGTAACTCTTTTGTATGGAATTTCTTATCAAAGAAGGCATTATTGTTTCAATTTTCATTGTTCTCGAATCAAATTTGAACGGGGATTACAAGTATTTTTAAGAATGCTCTCATCACTTGTAGTCATCATGAAAATAGAAATATTGATGGTCTATTTTTAATTGGACAATTTTCTGATCTTATGCTAGAATCAAGTTGCTATCCGTTGTAAAGCAGAACTATTAACAAAGAGTGATCTTCCTAATTTTTAACTCACACGATACTGGTATAATAATGCAATAGAGAACTTGCAGTTTTTAATAGAATCCGTGACAAATATCGGAAAAAAGTAAATTAGATCATGATTTGGCTTGGAGTTAAATTTTGAATAAAGAAAAAGAATGCAATATTTCATCAATTCGAAGTTCAAAATGAGTTTAACGAGGCATTTTCCACGGAAACTGATTCATTCGATTCATCGTCAATCAGCCCTCTAATCGTTACAATGGAACGATAACAGATGAGCTTTTAAAACCTAGGCGTAGCCTATGTCGTCTTACAGTAAATGAAAAGTGACAGCCGTCTTGGATGATTGATCAATGGTATTTTTTGGATCAATCAGTAAACATATCACGAAACATAGTGATATTCAACGAATATAACATGGCCATTTGGCGAAATAAATATCTTTAACTATGGCAATAACCATGTGGGTGTAGGTGTGGATCTTCTCTTCATTCAAATCCTCTTTTAGTATAGAATAAAATAAATGTTGTATGCACAGCTGTGCATCTACTGAACTCATTATTATTTGAAGCCGAAGAATAGCTTGTATCAGTCTAGCACACTATTCTATATTATTTACAAAACTAGAATTAGTATATAAAACTGAGTGATCATCGTTTATACCCAAAAAAGACGGTTTG